CTCACTCCCTTGACTATATGGCTATGACAATATTTGCGCTGCGTTTGCTTTGCTGGCATTGCGAGCTCCTATATCATTTATCAGATGTAAGTTTCATGGTCGTTTTGGCTTTGACTTTACCATTGCTATTCGGTATTAATACACTCACTTGGGTTACAATGCTTCTAGTATGACAATTGAAACACTTTTTGCCACTTTTTTTGAATAATTTAAATTTCCTTTTTAGATATTCCCGCCTATCTACATTTATACATACGTTTTGCCATCCCAAACATAAGATTGTTTATAACTCGTAGTATTAGTACTAGATATTTATATATTTTTATATATTCTGTTTTAAACCGAAACGGATTGAATCCCGAATTACAATTTATTTAAATTTATAACTATTAACCAAATCTATATCAAAAGCAATTGCCTTCAAAAACAATTTGTGTCAATATAAAAGAAACTTTCAAGGAAAACCGACTAGAGCCTAATTTCGCAGCAGAACTAATTTCGCACTTTCCAATAATTGTATTTTGCCGACCGGATTCTTTCAACTTCCGACACTCAATTTAAGGAGCAAGCTATATTTTATGTTAAAATATGTATCGCATCATTCTTTAGAGTATTTCCGCTTCATTATTACAATGCTGACTTTTCTAAAAAATGTTTCTGTTTGGCTTCTCTTTTGTTTCTCTTGTTGTTTGTGCAGAGTGTTTGCGGAGTGTTAACATGATCTTTTATTACTACTGCTGTACGGTTGGGAACTAGTGCCACCGGGTAGGTTTATTTACCGCTAATAATGGTCATTTAGCTTGATATTTTTGCCACGTTGACGATGGCGTGGCTCTGATTAGACAGTGGGTTAGCTTTGAGAGCTGCAAATGCACATGAGCAATGCACAGCAATGGCAAGCGCAGACACACATACGCACATACACACGCATACACACACAGACACATATACATTTTGATTTCGTTTTCTAAAAATGTGTAAAACGCGATTTTTGAATTTGTTCAGCAATTTGCTGCTTAATTGACAAAACACACACCGACGGCGACAGACTGGCCAACAACCAGCGGCGATTTTCTGTAGTTGTAGTCAAAGCAAATAATCCAACAACACACGCTTGCAACAAACACAGCACACATACTTAGTCAAGAACCAATACGAAAATTCAAATCCGAATCGAAAAACAACTAATAAAATCATATATGCAACAAATAGCGGCGGCAGGCAAGCTGCAGAGACCCCAATGAGTCACCCGGCATCAGGCAGCAGGCAGCAGGCAGACACTCTATGGCCACAGCTCTTGGCCCAGACAGCTGTGCAGACTAAGCGCCCCAGTTTGGTGGATAGAAAGGCAGGAGTAGGTGCATGTGATCTGTCTGGTGCTACGGGGCGTGCTTTGAGTCTAGGCACAAATATATAAAATGTGCAACATTTTTAACAAACATGCGCGCTTTGAGGCAAATACTCGCTAAAGCAAAAAAACAACATGCAAACTATCCATGGTTAGAAGCAAATAGATAAAATTGATACTTTGCATATTCAAAAGGTGTAAGTCTAGGTTTGGGATGCAACTTTGGATAAGTCTTGTAGGCTTCAAAAATAAATTGAAAATCTAAGCGTAAATCAAGTAGAGATTAGATATTATTGTCGATATATCTAAGAGGCTCATATTTGAACAGATAGATTATCAATTGTATAATTCTCGCAATCTCTCAATAGAGATTTCCACTTAATAAAATATCAAAATAAGTTTTTGTATAAATTAAAAGAACAAGTGCATCGGGTAACTGATCACATTCTTCAAGCGTTTGATAAAGGCGAATATTGCAACGGAGTATTTCTGGATATACAACAGGCATTCGACCGTGTTTGGCATCCAGGATTACTAGCCAAAATTAAGCAAGCCACCCCAGCTAATATGTTTAAACTACTAAAATCATTTATGGAAAATAGAAAGTTCCTGGTACAAGTCCAGGATAGTCAATCGCCAATCAACCCAATACTTGCTGGAGTCCCACAAGGCAGCGTTCTCGCTCCTATTCTATATACAATATTTTCAGCCGACATCCCACAAATTAATAATTCTGGCATGTTACTGGCTTCTTACGCCGATGATGTCTGTGTTTTAAACTCAAACACATCAGAAAGTGAAGCAACAACAGGTATTCAGCGATACCTCGATGAATTTGGTAATTGGGCCAAGAAGTGGAACATGGGAATTAACACCAGCAAATCGATTAATGTCTGTTTCACATTACGACGTAAACGAACTCCACCAGTTTCGCTCAACATGCAACCAATTCCACAAGCATCCTCGGCCAGATATCTGGGCATCACCCTCGACCAACGACTTACTTATCGAGAACATTTTGAAAAAGCTGCGACAACCTGTTATCTGAAGAGAGACAAACTTCACTGGATGTTGAACCGAAGAAGTAAGCTTCCATTACGGTGCAAAACTCAAATCTACCAGCAAATCATTGCGCCAACTTGGAGATATGGCATCCAGATTTGGGGCACAGCTGCCAAATCAAACAGAAGACGTTTCCAGACAATCCAAAATAAAGCTTTACGCCTAATAACTGGCTGCAGCTGGTATGTCAGTAACCTGACCCTTCACAGAGATCTGAATATTACGCTAATAGAAGATCAGATCTCTTTCTACTCCAGTCGCTATAACGAAAGACTGATAAACCACCAAAACAGATCTGCACAAGCCCTTGTCGGATCTATTCCTATAAATAGACTGAAGAAAAGACACTTCGGTCTTTTACAAAACAATTAAAAACAATTCTTAAGAAGACAGCTTAGCCTTAACCTTATGTAGAGCAGGAGAAAATAAACTAAGAAACAAACATTGTTAAATGCAAATTTTGAAGCATGTACATGTTTAAAAACTCATATTATCTGTTAATATAATAAAGATTTTCATAAAAAAAAAAAAAAAAAAAAGTATAAATTAAAGTGCTCGTATCCTGTTAGAAGAGCTTGTGGATAAGAATTGCGTACATACAAAAGTTATTTAAACAGTTATTCTGAAAAACTGAAAATTTATCCTTAAAAAACTCATATTCCTAACGGTACTTCCGCTCAATAGGAATATATATTAGGTGTAACTAAAAGACCCCACATTTTGTAGTGATAAATTAAGAAACAGAATGCTTGTCATCGATTTCTGACTGCTGCCTGATTTGGTGGTTCGATCCGACAAAAGTGCCTGCAACAAAAGGACAGCCAAACTTTGCATGACGATATTTTTTGATAATATATAAACCCACGATTTGTTATTTGAAAAAGAAACAAAAGAAATTAAAAATTATTTGTGGAAGCTTTTTGAAATATCATTACTCTTCTCTTGTGTTATCATAAGTGAAAATAGCTTTAATACTCCTCTTTAAAATCACCCAGAACTGTTCATTTGGGTTTCTTACATCCGCGATCACAGTTGCAGCAGAACATGTTGCATCTGCCTTCCCCACAACAGATCTGCGGGCTTGAAAGATCATTACAGACATATACAAAATTACGCGTAGAGTCTGCACGACAGCATTCACAAGTCGCCTGCCAGATATACAGCGAAAAAGTATATAAAATTAATAATTGCCACGTATACCACATTATAGCTGTATAGAGCTGCACTGAAGTGCACTGTAAAGCTTTAAAAAGTGTTTTACAATTGCTATTTGATCGACGGAAAAAGTAACATACTTCTTGTTATGTGACATGGAAATAATTAAATTAGTAATATATACCGAATATGAAATTTGTGTATGACGAAATAATTATACCCTTGAATGTATACGAGAGTATGTTCAAGTGTTGACCATTTATGAACATCAACAAGAACGAGATACGACCGAATATTCCTTGTTCCCTTTTGCTTTACGCCCAGACTCCCAAACTTTTATATGTAAATGTTTTACAGCATGAAAAAGTATGGTTCCAAAGATGACTTGACTAAATACTCTGTAGCCAAGTCAAACTTCTCTGGCCAAGAAATCTGGATAAACAAAAATGTTTTTCATACAACTTAACTTTCGAGCGATCGTTCCTATGGTAACTACATGATATAGTGGTCCGATCCAGCTGGTTTGCAACAAAAAGAGGGACTTCTGCAAGCTTTCATAAAGATAGCTTTAAATCTGAGGGACTAGTTCGCATAGAAACAGAAGGACTATATCGACTCGGTTGTTGATACTGATCAAGAATATATATACTTTATGGGGTCGGAGACAAAATTATAATACCCTCTGCAAGGGTATAAACATAATGCATTTTTATCCGCAAGCTTTTTACCTACTTTCCGTTGTTACCGATTATAAGAAGGGTGAAAAAATTGAATAATATATTTAAAAAATAGCATGCTACTTTATTATAACCTACTTTATTATAAGAGCATTTGCTCTTAATCTTTCTTAATTTTGTAATCTGATTGCCAGCATACCTGTTCGCACGGCTTGTCTCCACGTAAATTCCTGCTCTTGCCTTTATTTTATTTAACAATAGTTGGAGTACAGTATTCACCATCCGACCTCTACGGTGGCAGGGACAAGAGTTGTATTAAAAATAATTCTCAATAACAGCTGCTGAATATGTGAAATTCGTTGCACAAAAAATTAAAAGGAATAAAACATTATTTATGAAAATTTTTGTTACATTAAAAATTATTGAAAAAAAAAACGTTACTATCAATACTTGTGTCTAAATGTCATCTGTTTCGGAAATCGATTCAATATATATGGTCATTGATGTATGTAAACTAGTCGGTTTTGAAAGCTGTCGCCACGAAGTTTAACATAGGTTCGTGTTTTTGTTTTAAACAGCATATATTTTGGAGTTGGTCAGATCGGATCTTCACTCCACACTTGAGCATTGGTAGATTGACTTTAGCAGTTGGTTCCCTATATAAAACATAATAACGTAGTACCCATTTAAAGAAACGTTAATGGTTTTGGTACACTAAATTTGTTGTTTAGCTATCGGGGCAAGAAAAACGAGTCATATGCGTTGCCGTTGTACCAAAATATTAAAAAATTTATTATATCATTATATACCCATGTAGTGTTATTCTTAAATGAAACACAATAAATTAAAAAGATTTTGAGAAGCTTTGCTAAATAATCTTACTCTTTTTTTTTGGGCTCGGGCTTGCTGGTATTTTCTTTTTCTTTAAAAAATGGCAATCTGGAAAAGGAACATATATTATTAAAAGTGAAGGTGAAGTTTAATTTACAAATAATTACTCTGGTTGTTGATGCGTAAATTCTGTTTTATGGCCATACTCTGCCTTAAAATCATCCAAAACAGTAATTTTAGCTTTCCTGCATCCGCGATTACAGTTGCAGCAGAAAAAGTTGCATTTTCCTACCCCACAACAGGGCGTCGAACTTGAGAGATCATTACAGACTTTAGCTTGGCACTCATCTTTGTTCCAATAGTGAACTTGGCTCCCTCCAGCGATATCCACACAAGACGTACTGTCACTATTTTTTAGAAAATAAGTCATAGAGGTTGAGCGACAGCACGCACCATTCGCCTGCCAGATATACAGCGAAAAAGTATGTAAAATTAAAAATTGCCACGTATACCACATTATAGCTGTATAGAGCAGCACTGAAGTGCACTGTAAAGCTTCGAAAAGAGTTTTGCAATTGCTATTTGATCTACGGAAAAAAGAAACCTACTTTTTGTTATGTGACAAGGAAATAATTAAATAAGTTATATATACCGAATAAGAAATTTGTGTGTATCGAACTAATTATACCTTATTATATTATCCGTGTCAAGTGATGACCTTTTATGAAGATCGACAAAATCGAGATGGACTGTGAACGAGTATTCTTTTTGCCCTTTTGCTTTGCGAAAAGGCATTTTGCTCAGGACATTTTTTTAATCTCCAAAATGTGTGATTTCCTCTTTTTTTCTTGGGACTGCAAAATCGTGGAATGCTGCTTGCAACCCATTTACCAATGTTTTCAGTCAACTTAGCTAACTTATCCTTATAATATTAATTCTTTTAATCGATATATGCTTTCATTATTTGCAAATTTGCGATAGTTATGTTCTCTCTGCTAATGAATATTTTTAAAAACTTTATGTGATCTTTGAGATTTTCTATCATATAGTTTTACTAGTTTCAAGTGTCAACGGCTTAGTAAAACATTATTATATTCAAAAAAGACATTCGCGGCAGCAATTTTTTTACCAACTTTCAGTTGGAACCGTTTATAAGAAGGGAGAAGAAGATTGCATAGCATGTATAAAAATAACACGCTAATTTATTTGTCTTTATATATTCGATGAAGTCGGACTTACAGACTATTATTAAACGGCTTTGAATTTATTTATTAGAGTTTGACTAAAGGTTAACTCATTCCAATTCCAAGTGTCAAGCTTCTACCAATGCCAATAGTTTGGAATCAATATTTAATCGGTGCAGTATATAAAGAGTATAAGAGCTTTTCCAAAATCTTTATTGTTTTACTACCTTTACAATCTGCTCATGTGGCGCCAAGCATCCTTGTATACAGCAACAGCTAAAAATATTGCATGGTCCAGTTGCGCAAGGGTGCATGGTGGGTTTCGGGGTTTTCTCGATTTGCACAAACTGCTTTTCGAAAAGAAAAATTGTCGCCACTTAGGCAAGATCCTACATGACTCTATTGTCTTTATTACTTCAATTCCCGGATAGCATTCGGTATTTGGCTGCCATGGATGCATTGAAAAGAGTTGTAGTAGAATTAGCAAGACCGAGATATAGCGCATTGCAGCCAGTCTTCCGGATGTTTTACGGATACGAATTGATTTTGCATGTACGAGCTAATTTAGTATATCGAATTTTAACGATACCGGTACCAAATCAATTAAAAGAACCTTTGTGTTGCATTTTTTTCTTTTGCTATCTCTCCCATTCCCTAACCAAATCCACAAACATCGAACCTAGAAAAGCTTTACTTTGTTACTATACCTTAGAAGAGGGTACTATAATTTTGTCATGAAATGTGTAACGCATAAAATGAGACATCTCTGACGCAATAAAATATATATATTCTAGATGAGCATTAATAGTCGAAATAATATAGCCATGTCTGTTTCTATGCAAACCTGTTTCCCAGTTTAAAAGCTATCGTCTTGAAACTTTGCATAGAAAATGTTTACAAGTGTATTAAATCTAATATCTATAATAATCCTAATAAGTGGGGGTGAGAAATTTGGATGTACGTCTAAATATGATATTTGAGGGTAACATTTTTACATGCATTTTGACAAGAAAATAATTTTGTCAGATTTAAATGCCAAATTGACCAAGAGGTTAAGCCATGAAGAAAGAACGAAAATGGATGAAAATGGATTTGATCGAATGGTAAACAAAACAGTTTCATACAAACGGTTTCCACACATGCAGGTGGAATTTTCCGAAACCCTGTCTTAACGTGCACATCGAAAAGTAAAGTTAGCAATATAAAAACAAGTTAATTTATGAAAATTATTTGAGATTAGGTAACTGCATTTGTAAGTATATCATTGTGCTCAGTGCATTGCCCCAACCACATTCATTCGCGAATATCTGGTGGATCTAACACACATTCTCGTACAAAATCAGCAGCCATTAGGCTAATGCAGCGCCAGCACCGCATTTTTCACTACCCGATATGTCCCGATATGTGGGTCCGCCAACTGACTTGCTCCGCCCCTCTCTCGGCGGTCGAATGAGGGCGCAATAAAGGCGGGCGGGCAGGTAGTAAACATTGCGCCTATTAATTTATGACATAATTCTCAAAGCGCAAACAAAGCCGCTCGTAAAAAGTGAGCCCGGGCCAGACAATGGACCGCATTATGCACTTACGAGTATATTGGAATAGGTACCCACATGAGCACATGCCCATTGGGGCAGATGGTGGACAACTGGCACTGAGCCCCCGATTGCAATTGCAAATCAGCGCGACAAAAATTGAAAGACCAACAACTGACAAAAGGGAGACCCCAAGTGGTTGGCTCGAACTTTGGTTGTTTGTTTTTGTCTTTTTTTGTCACCTGGACCAAGTGTCCACATGCAGCTGTCAGAGATTGCCACTGTCGCGTCGGTCGAGTGGCAAATAAAATAAAATGAGACATTGGCTAGGCTAAATTATTTAATATCGCATTATCTAGCATCATAATTATCCACTGTGCGGCACTGTGCGGCTGTGACTCACACCGTGGCCCCCGGTAAACGAAGGAAAGGCGCAATGTGCGACAACTATGAAAAATCACTTGCAATTTGGTTTATCAATTTGTGAAAATTATAAAAAATATGCATACGTTGAATATTTTGGCGAAATCATTTGTAACCCAACAGTCGCCCACGCCGCGATTGCGGCGATGTGGCAACGCCGTTCACAACGCCGCTGAGTGGCCCCCGCATCGCGTGGGTAGCTGCTGCCCAGGCGCCAAAAAACCAAATCTGTAATCTGTTTATGCAACTGTTTATATACTCTTACGCTTTTGAAGGGCACACCTACTTTCCTGGCAGACGTGTTCTGAGGGTTGAGGCTTTTCATAATTGTAAGGTTAGCCTTGAAACGATTTTCAGTTTAAGTTGTAATGAGAGCTTCAACTATATAAGTAATATAATCTCTTTTCTTTTCTCCCCTTTTCCTATAATTACCTCATTTACTTACTTGTCTCTACCAATCTCGACATGACAGTTGCTTACAGTGTATCTCAAAGTCGTTTTCAATTGGTTTGATTTGCATTCTTGTTGCTGCTGCTGTTTTGCGGCCATTCGATACACTTGACGCCGTTCGTTGAAATTAAATATATACGGGTGCATATAGAAAATGCGTCGTGAGTCAAGTTTAGGATTTCTAGTTGCATCGTTTCGATACAGCTTTAGCTGCTTTCGGCGGCTTCCTCTCTGTCTACATTTCAGAAGAATACGAGGAAAAGTATTTGAACAGCACTTCTTGAGTTTGTTTGCAACGGCAGCAAACAAATATTCGTGATTCCTGATAAGCATCATTTGTTGGCCGCTGTGGTCCGAACTCTCTGCATTGGTTAACAAATGCCGCTAAAATGCGGAAAGCTAATCAAAAACGCGTTGCGACCACGACGCCGACGCCGCCGCTGCTGCCGCCGTTGCCGGCTGGCCCCAAAAATCGATGGCAAAACGTTAAGTTCCAAGAGCCAAGTTCAATTGGCAAACAAATTCGCGTGAATGAGCCAACAGCAACAGCAACAACTGTCGAGCATTGGCTGCTGGTATTTTTACTCGTACTTGCCGGGCAAATTTAGGCAAAACATTAACCGTTTTGTCCGTTTCGTTTTGTTTCCTTTAGTTTTGTTTTGGTTTTCCCTGTCCGCGATTCTGTCTCGCTGTCCGTGTGACTTATGTGCGACATTAGCGCGACGTTCTTTGCTTAATTACGTAAACTTTTTTTGGGCCTCCGCCTCAAGGCTTCCCCGCTCCACGTACCCCCGCCCACTGTACTCCTCTACTCACAGTTTGTTTGGTTTGCTGTTTGTTATGTGTACGACAAGTTCGTGTCTTAAGTCTTTCGTTTTGCGCCTTGTTCGGCTCTTGTCGCAGTGCCGTTTTACTGTTTTCTGTTATGTTCTGTGTTTGCAACAGGTTGTAAGTCGAAATTAAAGAATTTGTTAAGTTGATTTGTCCTTTGGCTTGTCCCTACACTGGGTGGCGTGCACAAAGGTCTAGTGTGAGGACAGTTGGTTACAGGGAGTCAATAGAAGCTTTTCTTCGATTCTTGGTACATTTTCTTGGCAACTATAAGCCTGATTTGTTCTTATATATTACCAATAATCGTAAAATCCTTTCAGACAGGGCAGTGAATAGTTTGGGAAGACAGTTCCTCCTACTTGGGTGTCAATATGTGCCTCATGGCAACAACCTATTTTTGGCAACAATCCACATATCAAATTGTATATCGAAAGTCTGAAACTCTTTTGTCCACAATATACTTTTTTAACACCTTGAAATAGAAGGTAGACTATATTCAATGAATTATGATAATGATGCCTGCGAAAACATTGCATGCTGTGCGCCTCTTATCTTTATACACATTGGGAATTTTTTCAAGCTTTCAATGTTTGCGCTTAATGCTTTCTCCTATGTTCGTTCTTAAAGCTTGCAATAACCTGAACAATATTTGCTAATTTCCGTTTCAATGCTTTATTAATCATACGCCGGGTCAGCCCGAAGCAGAGCACAACAACGCAAGGTGCGGCAGAATTGCCGAAAAAAATGTTACAAAAAAAAAAACATTTAATAAGTTTTTCTCACGCTCCATTAAAACATCGTTAATCTGTGCCCGAAATTATGAAGGCAGACAGAGGCAGAAGATAAAGCATCTGGCGGCATTACAAGAAAGTCGCCGATCTTATTTCGAACTAATTTCAATATTACCCAAACGCGAACCTTCGCCGCGGCGGGCACTTCAAACGCTCTCGCACCGACAAGTACAACACTTGTTGTGCAGCTTGTAAAGTTGTTGAACTCGCGAGTGAAGAGAAATTGAAATAGTTGTTGGGAATATTGACAAATTATTGACAGACGGCCCACTGCTGTTCAAAACTAATTAAAATCTGTTTAAATGTTACAACAAAAAACGACAACAAAAACAACAAAAAGGTCGGTGAATTA